GGCGGCCCCTCCGGGAGCGCGGCCGCCGCAGCGGGGTAACTAGCGGTCATCCTTTGTGCTCCGGCGGGCGGGTCCTGCCGAACACCGCCCGCCGCCCGGCCCCGCCGCCCTGGGCAGGGGAGGCGGCTGCCACCGAGCCCGGGCCCCCTCCCCGGACAGCCGCCGTGACAGCCCGGGGGTCGGGGGGCGGCAGCCTTCCCCGTCTGAGCAAGTGTTTTGCATAGATGAGCTGAAGTTGAATGCTGGGGTGGGGCGGGCGGAACGTGGAAAGCTCCCAAATTTATTATCTCGGGGTGGGAAAGGTGCATCCCCTGCCTCCGGGCTGCTCCCCGAACAGCCCCTCACCAGGTACGACACAGAGGCACAGCGCCTGATGCGAGCTGCCCGCTCCCTTGGCACCAAAGGGAGAAAAATGCTTATTATCTGAGCCCGTTCCCGCTGTCCCCGGGGCCGTGGGAGCACCCGTGGGTCACACGGAGGAGGCAGAGCGGCACCGGGGCTCTCCCGGTGAGGGTCTCCCGAGCAGGGCCCGGCAAACAGCCCTCGGGGGCAGAAGGGCAGCAAAGCCAAGCCTGCAAATCGAACTGCCGCAAAACTTCATGCAAACTTGTGACCCGGGCAATTAGCTTAGCGTGTTAAGCGTTTAATTTCCCTGATTTTCTCTTCCTTCCTGGGCACGCACAGTTAGCACTGTGGCTCTGGTCTGCAGAAGCGGCTGGTATCTGCATCTCCGGTGAAGACATTGACAACTGAAGCGCTCAACGTGTTAGCAAGCTGAAGTTAGACTGCCAAAACTTATGACACCCAAAATAAAATATGCCTTTATAACAATGTTTTTTCTGTATGTCTTCAAAAGACAAATAATTACGTGTGGCATGTCTACTGGGAATACTGTGAAGCAGAACTCATTACACTTTGTAATGCATTCGTGAGTTATCCATTGGAAGTGTCTTTAAAGTACGATTTTATTCTGCAGTTTTTAACTGCAGTCAGGTACTGGAAGAGGTTACCCAAGTTTATGTAAATTATTCATTGTATGGACTTTTTACATCAAGATCAGCTGTTTTTCAGTGATCCAGTTCAACTAAACGCTAGAGAGCTGTAGCTCCACTGATGGTACAGGGAACTTTGGTGTTTTGCTGCTAACTTTGGTCTTATTACAGCACCTGCATTTGTCCCTAAAATAGCTCATGAGTCAGATTTTTAAAAAAGCTCAGCATCTTTGTGGGCAGTAACGTTTGGGCCAGTTTTTTAAGAGCTCTGCATACTGTGTGTGCATACAATATAAGAAGCTTTTCTGAAAAAAAATGTCGACCTCCACCAGCTGACCAAAGAAGCCAGATCCTCTTCCCTTTAGATGTAATCCCTTGTGAGGGGCTGTGTTCAAACACTGTTACTGTGGGGGGGTCCTCAGTGCCCTGTGCATTGGGGAAATGTGGCTGGCTTCGCAAATCAGCTGCTGTCATTTTCATTGCAGTTTCTGTAGGATTTCACAATTCCAAATTGCCCCGTGGGCTTCTTTGCCTTCCGTGATACCGTATTCTTGGCAGTGCTGTGGTGTGGGAAGAAGGCTGAGGGCAGGTAAGTGCATTTCTCTGGGCTGCAACAGGGCATTGGGCGATGAGTCAGTCGTGGGGAGAGGATCCAGCCATCCAGCCCTTGCTTTATCCAGAGCCTGTGAGTTTGTGCAGTTACTGGAAATGAAGATTTTCCCTGCTTTTAAGTGTATTAGCTCTGAACTTGTGACATTAATGGGAAGTTAATAGTATAAAAGTAATAGTAAGCAAGAATCCAGTTCAAAAGGAAAATATTTGCATTTTCTGAAGATTTGTGGGGGTTGATGCGAGCATGGCAATAACTTGCATCTACTCAGTCTAAGCCCATTCAGTCAGTAAGATTGCAAACATGGGTGTCATATCTTTGCATCTCACTGCCAATTATTTTTGCTTTAAATAATTTAAAATATATAGAAGATGTATCTATTTCCTGTCCAAAGTAGTAAATTTTTGTATCCAGTATCAGTCAAAAGCATGAAAGAGGTGAGGCTTCACATTTAATCCTGACTCTGAATCTTCAGTTACATAATTTTGTATTCCATTATCTAAGATGTACTGTAATATCCATCATACATTTTCATTAATCTTATAGAGAGCATGTTTAACAGTTTGCAATTTTCCTTCATTTTGCTGCTTCTCATTATTTCCCATTAGCATGATTATTCACTATCTTTATTACCTTTATGCAGTTAGTATTTCTCTCTCTCGTGAGTGGGCTGAATCCTCTATAAGTAGTCATATAAAATACATCAATGGGGGCTCTAGCTCCAAGTACATTAACAGGAAAGAGTTGAGATGTCATCTTTAAGACTTACCCTCTCTAAAGGAAGGATGAAATATAATTTTAACTAAGCCTGTCCTCTTATGTTCAAACCAAAGTCTGCACCAGCACATGGCTCTGACTTGTTCCCCTGCTGCCCTTCCTGCCTCAAATACCCTGCATGACATCTAGAAAGACCTCTACGCATAATCCCCCTTCTCTCTGCCTCTTGATTTGGAAAGAAAAAGCTATTAAGAAAGAAGAAAACGAAAAGTTATTTCAGTCTGTGTTTCCACTGGCGTGAGTCCACCACCCAGGTGTGGACACACCAGTTTGTCCCAGCTTATCTGCTTGTGTGGCAAGTGTTAAATGTGCACAGTTCTTGTTCTTCCTCACTGTCACCAATACCTTCCATGGCCAAGTTAGGGCTAGTGACAACTTAGCCCATAAAGAGTATCCATCTATGAGAAGTTGGATAGCAGGAGTACAACATATTTTAGCCACAATTCACTGTATGAGGCAAATCAACGTTCTCTAGGAAGGACCTACATGTTCAAGCTGCCCTTGGTTACACATAATTACCTGTACTGCAAGTAAGGGATATGTGTCACTTAACTACAAAGGTAACTTACCCAGCAGCCAGCCTGGAGAGGTTACATATATCAGCAGGTTTTCACTCTTCTCTGTAAAAGAAATGGTAGCTTTGACCAATCAGCTCTGACTCCATGTCCATATTGGTATGAAATACTTCAGGGCCTTCTCTGTATGTTTATCTAGCAATAGGAAAAAAAAAAATAGTTTGGAAAGGTAGCAACTTGAGAAGCGAAATATACTCATGTATTTAAAGACACCAGTCCAAATTTTCAGTTAGTACAGATCTGAGTTACTTCGTTCACTGCTAGTTTTCAGTAGTGAGGCTCTAGCCCTGAGGCACACCTTCTGAGGGCTCACAGAAGGAGTTTTTTCAAGCAGCTTTTGATAACTTTCTTCTCTCTTTTGACTGTTGTGAAGCCGATGGCTCTTTTTATTTCTCCAGAGAAGAAAAGAAGACAAAAAATTACCATCTCTGGTAACTTGTACTATCACATTTCTAGTCTCCATGGAAACCTATGTGGTGCTCCACAGTTGGGTAACATTTCAATGTTACAACAGAAATCAGATGGAGAGAAAACTAGGTTCTGCACCTTGCCTGTTAATCAATTAAAAATGATTTTGAAATTATTTTCACATTGTGTCACAATCTTCACTTAGAGTAACAATGGAAGAAGTAATCAAATAAAGCTATTATGGCCTGATCCTACATAGACCTACGCACATATCCACATAACTCTGCTGCTTAGTTTGATTCTGATAGGCATTGACATTAATTTGGAAGAATTCTTTGGTTTTAGTTGGATTATATGGATTAATACTATGGAAACTGAAAGCGTAATAGCAAACTGTTTCTTAAGTTGACTCTAACAAAAAGCTTGCCAGAGAGGTAGTAACAATCCCCTTGTTGTAATTTATGTAAACAAAACATTTTGAAAATCAAGAACCTTAAATCTTTATCTTTTTCTGTCTTGATTCTTGTTCTTCCACTACTAAGGAAGAAATACATCTCAAAACTGGCTTCCTCTGAAAAGATACGGTAACTTTATCTACCTTCCTCTTCACAATTTCCTTTCTTTATTCCAAGCTTTATCAACTTGAACACAAAGGCACATAATCTCACTGGGACAGCAGAAGGTGATACAGAGAAGGAATATACAGAGAGAGCACAGTCTTTTTTTTGGTGACCACAGTCAACTCATGAAGAGTGAGTGCTCTCAGCCACCTACAAGTAAGTAAAGTATATAGTAATGGAAATAATACAGCCTGCTGTCAACCTGCAAATACTCCTATGTAGGGAGCCATGATCATAAGGTACACATGAATTTGAAAATTTTCTGAGAATTTTCTAAGAATTTTACATTTGAACAATGAAAACCCAGTATTCACTTTACAACTGCCCTAAATCACAAGGGTGAAATATGGTAGTGATTTATGCTGTTCACTACAAAAACTGATCATTTTGTATGTATTTTGAAGGTGTTTACTGCATTTGTTCCAGAATACCGTGGAGAAAATGTATGCTAGTCGAGAGGATATTGGATATGATTTTGGAGATGACTCGAAAGCCGGAAATAAGCCAATTAAGCCTAATCCAAACATTGATGGAGGATGGGCTTGGATGATTGTACTTTCCTCTTTCCTTGTGCACATACTTATCATGGGGTCCCAAATGGCCCTTGGAATACTCAACATGGAGTGGCTTGAAGAGTTTAATCAAAGTCGTGGCTTAACAGCATGGGTTAGCTCCCTCAGCATGGGCATTACGCTTATTGTAGGTATGTTCCAGCATAATTTATTTCAAAACTGCAAAGATTTTTAGAATATGTTTGCCACTCATCGCCCAAGTATTTTCTTACAGTTTCCCATTTTATTAGCAGAGCTGTCCAAGTTCTCCTGAGTTGCCTTTTTAAAGTCCCCAGGACAAATTTTACAAGTTAGAGGGAGAAAGGGAACAACAGGGAAGATGACAGAGAAGACAATTACTCCAGGAGACAGCATTAGGAGGAAAGGATGCCTGTGACTTCAAGGTCTCACTAGAATTAAGAAAACAGATGATCTGTGAGGCTTGTTGTACTCCCCATACTCTAACTGGGAAGAGAAAATGTTTAATTGGATAGTTTATATTTCAGTTTGGCAGCTGAACTAAAATTCATTTTTTAAGTTGTGGATGGATCAACCCAAAATAATATCTGGAGGGGTATATTGGTGTATATATGTATACACACACCTCTATCTCCCTAAATTAAGACAGAAGAAGTTGTGTTTAGGTCTGCCTAAAACGTTCCACTGGAAATAAAATGTTTACTTTCTAGTTACTTGTGAAAAAGGCTTGCACTCAGACAGCATTAGTATTGGGAACAATGGTTTCAGTTTCTTCTTCTGTTTAAACTGTCCCTTCTTCATGGGGCAACTTTGATTTTAGGTCCTGTGGGTATTTGCTAAGTATTTGGTCAGTTGGTTGAATTTTTCTTTCCATGGTTTTAAACAATACTAGGGAAAATAAACTGAATTGCATGAGTAGCCTGATGTTTAATGTTTTGTTTAAAACATTAAGAATCTTCATGAGAAAAATTATTAAAAAACATTTTTAAATGTTTTTAACAGGTCCTTTCATTGGTTTGTTCATCAGCATGTGTGGGTGCCGCAAGACAGCTATAATTGGAGGGATTTTGAATGCCCTAGGTTGGATACTGAGTGCCTATGCCTCAAATGTGCACTACCTCTTCCTTACGTTTGGAGTGACAGCCGGTAAGAGCTGTAATAATGTTTGAATGTTCTTTCAATTATTTTTGATTCCTTTGAAGGTTATCTGGGTGAGTAAAGAGGGAAGTTAGACTGTAAAGGTATTTATACTTTGCAGATAACATGGCCAGTTATATTTGCAAATAAAGCATGGTATCTATGTTACACATGACAGACAGAAACATTACAAAAAAATTGTTTGCAATACTAATAGTAGCTTTAGTAGCCTCCATTCCCTTAAACTACCCTTTCACAGAATTTCACAGAAATCTGCAGAATTTCTGTGCATAATTTTTTATCTAGCTCCGTGGATGGAAAAAAATTGAAACTAGTAAGGAGTATGGTGATGACTTTATATCACCGTACCATAGGTCTCAGTAATGTTGCAAATTCCTTCACAAAGAACAATAACTACATGCAGTGTTCTGCCCTTTTTGGAATTTCTGTTTCCATATATATTAGATATAATCAATCAGACAGGAATCTACACACTCTTTCTCTCAGCCCTTGCTGCTTTACAGAAAGAGCAGACACAAAATGTCAGGCAAAAAAAGCAGAGATTATACAGAGAATTTAAAGAAGGGTGAAAACTGCATTTTCAGAAAAAATCTGAGGCAAATTTTTATATGAAGTGGAGAAATGAGATGCTGTCACAGGGGTAATTCTGTCCAGAGATGCCTGAGATGTTTCCTTCAGCTTCATGATGAGACTTTCACTCACCGTCTCCTCACTCACCATCCCCTCACTCACCATCCCCTCACTCACCATCTCCTCACTTGCCGTGCCCTCACTCATTGTCCCCTTACCATGCCCTCACTCACCATCCCCTCACTCACCATCTCCTCACTCACCATCTCCTCACTCACGATCCCCTCACACACCATCTCCTCACTCACCATCTCCTCACTTGCTGTCTCCACACTCACTCTCCCCTCACCCTCTCCCCACTCACTGCCCCTTCACTCAAAATCTCAATCATTGTCCCTTCAGTCGCCATCCACTCACTCACCCATGCCGTCGTTCCCTGTCCCATCACCCCCCATATCCTTGCTCATGGTCACTCACTCACCGCCACCTCAGGGAAGTTTCCGTCATGCTCTCATGGCGGTTCACTGATGGTGGCTGCCTCCTGCTGTGATCACTTCTGGGCTTCCGTGCATTGCTCGTGGGCGTATTCATGGCTCCTGTTCTTGTGTTGGTGACCTGCAGTGCCAGATGCCCTCAGAGATTGCGTCCCCATGATCCCAGCCTTGTCCCCACCGACCACATCCCCTCTGCCGCCTCAGATCCCCTTCCCGAAGCATCCCTCACCTCAGTGTGGTTCTCCTCCCCCAGCTCCTCACAGCCTTGCCCCTTGCCTCCTGGCTGCTGGCTTCACCCGGCTCCACGGGCTCTGCTCCCCACAGTGGCAGTATTGGGGGGGCAGAGGAGCCTTCTCCCCCCTCACCTGGCCAGGGTAGCCCTGAGGTGGGTGCAGGAAGCCCCTGTGGGCTGAGGGGCAAAGTTCCCCCTGAGCCCCGCCAGGGGAGAGCAGAGGTGGGCCTGCTGCTGGCCTGCTGGTGCGGGGGGGACAAATCTGTGAGGAAGAGGAGTGGGGGTGTTGGCCTGTGTTTACCTGTGAGGCCAGCGTGCCTGTGCATGGGATTAGACTATGTTTTGCTATGTAGCCCACAGAATGAAAAGGTAGGATAAAACGATTTTTGAAGTGTCTTATTTGCGAGAAAGTGCAGTGAACACTAACGCAAGCACGAGCCCGGGCAGTTTCCTCACAGCAGCCAACATCAGGCTGGCCTGAGGAGACAGGGGGTCTTCTGGGGGGCAGAGAGGTTTCCTAAGAGTTTGTGACTGGGTTTGGGGGGGGAGACCTTCTGCAAAATAGAGACCCGATCATGGATTTGTGCAGCAAAGAGATAAATGCTTCTGACAGGCAGGGCAGGTCAGCTCTGACCACAGTACACTGCCATGATGTTGAGAGGATTTTTTCATGTTCTGCTGGAATAACAGCTCTTTCTCCCATCAAGCTGTGACTAGATCATGGCAGCTATGCCATCAACTATTTAGTAAAACTTTTAAGCCCAAAACGCTCTTCTAAATTATGATCACAGTGAATTTGGAAGCATCTTCTGCGTATACCTCTTCCATTCCAAATCCCCTCTGTCATAAGTTTGCTGAGAAAAACTGGGCAACCATTACCTTTCATGGTGTGTTTGCCCAACTCTCAGCATTTCCTGCTTGAAACGGGTAACATTAATACTCTGTTTTTTAACAGTAAGTGGGGGAATTTCTACAAAATTAGAGATCTGCCTGTGCAGCTGTTGTATGGCCCTCTCTCAGCTTGACTGGAGTGCCCAAAGAGAAACCTGGAAGCCACCCAAGGTCCTACCACCGGGCTAACCCCCTGTGCTGGCCCCTGAAACATATCTCATGGTCACTGTGGCTCCACAGTTAGAAAGTGAGGACAAAAACTCAGCCTGGATCTTCGTTGCTGGTGAAGTGGGCAAAAGCAATAAGATGTGTCCACTAAGCAATTTCTGGATACTGATACAGTCAGATGCAAGTATTATAAATGCAGATATTTCAAAATAGGGTTTGTTTATGTTTGTCGCTATATTAACTGCCACTGATTTATTGTGGGATGTTTGGGGCTTTCCAGTGGTGTCATGCTAAACTGAGGTAAAGGTTTTTCCAGCAGTTAAATGGCAGTATTGTATTCTCTCTGGAATGAGTATTGCAAATTTTGGAACATACTATGAGACAGAAATGAAAGTTAGCATTAGAATTGAATATTTATTATTGTTTTACTCCTGTGCTCGTGCAAAAGTTCATTCATTTTTCACTGCTTCTTATCTTGTTGGCAAAAAGTTCAGATTGACTTTGGTTTTTATTTTCATAGGTGTTGGAAGTGGCATGGTTTATTTGCCTGCGGTGGTCATGGTAGGACAGTATTTTCAGAAGAGAAGAGCTCTGGCACAAGGACTCAGTACCACGGGAACAGGGTTTGGAGCTTTCCTAATGACTGCCTTACTGAAGTACCTCTGCGCCGAATTTGGGTGGAGGAACGCCATGTTCATCCAGGGTGCCATCTCCCTGAACCTTTGTGTCTGCGGGGCGCTTATGAGACCACTCTTTCACGTTGTTAGTGAAAAACATGTTGTGAGAAGTAATAGTGAAGATAATCAGGCAAAAGCTCTGTCCCATTCTGCAGAGACTATAAAATCTAATGGAATCATCAGTGAAGAACTGGAAAAAAAAGAAGAGGAAACAAATGAAGAAGTGCTTGACAGTGTTCAGCACACAGAAATTGGAGGTAAATCTAGAAGCGGAAGGAGTATGTATGGACTGCGCATTCTTAAGACAGTGAGCCAGCTGACAGTTACAGTCAGGAAGGGCTTTGCAATATGGTACTCCAGCTACTTTGGAGCTGCATCACTGTTTACCAATAGAGTATTTGTGGCCTTTATAATTTGGGCTTTGTTTGCCTACAGCAGCTTTGTCATTCCCTTTATTCATCTTCCAGAAATAGTCAAGCAGTACAACTTATCTAGTCAGAATAATATATTTCCCTTGACATCCATTATAGCCATTGTGCATATTTTTGGTAAAGTGATCCTTGGAATCATCTCTGATCTCCCGTGCATCAGCACATGGAATGTCTTCCTCATGGCTAACTTTACACTGGTCACCTGCATTCTTACTTTGCCACTAATGCAAACGTACGTTACCCTGGCTGTGGTTTGTGCTCTAATAGGATTTTCTAGTGGCTATTTTTCTCTAATGCCTGTTGTGACTGAAGATTTAGTTGGAACTAAACACCTTGCAAATGCCTATGGCATCATCATTTGTGCCAATGGAATATCTGCATTGCTTGGACCACCCTTTGCAGGTAAAAAGTTCCTATCTCTAACCAACAGATGTTTGTATAGTAAATAACTGCATGACTTCTTATATCATAAATATTTCTTATGTTCTGAGCATGTGTAGTTCACATTCACATTCACATCTGCTTCAGAATAGACCATAAGATCCAGCTTTACATTGTACAAACTTACAGATCACATCTGCTGGGTACCAGCTCACTATTCACACACTACAGATTACAATACTTGCAAACAACCCCAAATCTATTGCAGCTATCCTTTTCAGTGGTATGTGTCCTTAAAATAGCATCATATACTTTTTTTAAAATGGAAAGGTTTAACCTATTTTTATGTGTTTTGTGTAGTACATGCACTCTACGTACTCATGCCTCTAGATGAAAAAAGGATGAATACTTTTCAGGGTAGGCAGGGTACCACAGTATTACCCCCAAGAACTATAAAGTGTGTTTGGGTGTCACCACTCTAAGCTGCCAATGGACGTGTTAACTAACTTAGCTTTGCTTTCCTTCAGCCAGAAGTATCTACTTTGGGGACTGCACTGCTCATAATCTCTTTACTGCCACCCACAACAGAAGGTAGAAGTGTATGTATGTTATCTCTAAAGTTACTTAGGTTTAAACAAACATTAATTATAAATTTTCTCACAGAAAGAGGCAGGGAAGTACAGGAGAGACATAGGTACCGATTGTCAGTACAATGCCAGACTACGGCTATCTTTTACAGAGATGCAAATTTGAAGAGAGCATTAAGAAACCTTCTGAGTAATGGCTGTGGCCAGCTGTGATGGCATGAGGCTGAACTGAAGCTATTAGCAGCACAAGCAACCCAGAAAAGCAAGAACACCCTCACCTTCTCTCCCCACCATTAAGTGAGCTGACACAAATTAGAAGAAGCTCATTTAGTGCCCTTTGAAAAGCAGCAGTGTTTTACCATATATTCTTCCAGCACCTCTCAGTCTGTGCTGAACATGTCTTGGCTATTAGTAACGAAGCAAATGGGATGCAATGTAGGATGGAAGAACTAATTGGTTTGAGATTCCAAAATGTCTATTTTAAAGCCAGACCTGTGATAACTTGTTTGAAAAATATACAGCTTTAGAGAGAAGGTTGCTTGGCTTCTTAGGATGGCATATAGCTAGAGTGTCATTTTAAGACTTCCATGATCCTTAAATGAGGGGTTGGGTTTCACATTGGTTTTGGTGAATGAACAAGAGATTTTGTTAATACATTTCCATTTGTAGCATCTAGAGGAGGAGACAATTGCCACCCCTTTTTCCCACAGAACTTCTATGGATTTGACTGAAACGTCATGACAGAAATATGCAGTGTTTTTCACATTTTCCCATGCAATGTACCTTGTTGTCAAGCTTTGTAACAAACATGTTTTGTCCTTATTTTGCAGGTTGGATCTATGACATGACACATAAATATGATTTTTCTTTTTACATATCTGGCTTGCTATATATGGTGGGAATAATATTTTTACTTATACAACCTTGTATTCAAAAGAAACAACCAAGAGAAAAATCTGCGGAAGAAGCACAAGTATAGAACAAATTCCAGAAGTTTTTTTACAGATTTTTTTTGTTTTCAAGTTTCTATTGTACGACAGTATGCAGCTGTTTTTGGTATGGAACCAACCACATCGAGCTGTACTTAAGTGAAAAGCAAATGTGCTCCAAAATTATAATAAATTATTAGAAAGATGGTTTTAAAAGGAGTTAAGATCTTTTACTTTAGAACTAACAAACATAGTGATTAAAAGCACCCTGCTAGTCTTTTAAAATTGGAACAATGCTAGGAGCCTTTACCCTTGCTTCTCTTTTAACTTTTCACCACTACCCATTGGTGAAACTCCATTGACTGCAGTGCAGTTGCTCCTGATTTATGCTAATCCTACGGGAGAATTTGATCAGGATATGAATGGTTTATAAAAGTCCTTTCTATTATGTATTCTGTCTGGCAAAAGATTAGTTACTGAGTATGAGAAAATGATTGTATTTCTCACCTGACTAGTCAAGTACTGTTGAAATGCTAGCACAATAATTCGGCTAATTCAGTATGTTAAAATTAGTATTTCTGTGATGAAAAAGTGAAAAAAAGTTCTTATTTTTCTCCGAAATGACTCTCTACTTCAAGGAATTTTTATTTTATTTTTTAAAGTATCACTGCACGATCTCGTAGCCATCCTCAATAAATAGGCTGCATTATAAATGCTGTGACATTTAATGTAAGTGCAGTAAAACAAACATAGAACCAGAAACAGGCAACATATGGAAAATACTATTGTTATTCACAGACTGGAAAATGTTTCCAGAAACAGTTTGAAGTTTCTGGCTGGTTTACCTAATGAGAGGTATTGTAGAACTTTGTGACATTGCCATTGACTTCTTCCGTGGGACTGGTTTTCAAGTAAACAGTACTAAAGAAACAGAGTTAGGCAAAATTGGCCAGTTTCAGAAAGAACTGAACTACAGCACAGTAAACTTTGTTGCAATTAATTTAATAACAAAACCTGTTACATTGTAAGCAGTTGTGTTGCTGCTCATAATACACACCATGAACTTTGTAAGACTGGTCACGTTTGAGATATTTATTCACTAGAAAATTAGATAATGCAGAGCATGGAAGAACTGAAGATCATTGAAAACACTCAAATAAGTTTTCTTAAACAACATTCAGCACCTGGCAATCAATGCAGAATGTTTTGTGTGGTGCTGCAAGGCACACTCTTTCCAACTTTGAGAGTCTGGTGTTACTTTTCCTATCAAATAAAAGTCACTGTAAGTTTGCATCCTGCTAGCTTTATGCAAGTTTTTTCATGACAAATCAGGTTCTTAGTTTAATACTGATATCTGCTGCTGGAATTCTTTAAAAACAACTTATTCTATTTGAACAAATATTGGTAAACATTTCAATATGTAACAATGTCATTATACAGATCTTTTTGATAGCTGCAAGGTTAGTTAAAAAACAGTTCTGAACTGCAACTCATATTGTTCTATATTGCAATTCACCAGCTTCCTAGTTTTGCACTTCTACAACTGTTGGCAGGGACATACTTTAAAATAGATCACTGAAATAAGCCAAGTTGAAAAAAAACCCTTAAGGAAATCCCGAACTACTTTAAGATTTAGATCAGGCCATTCATAGAGGATAGTTACGCATGGCCTTTAAAATTCACATTAAAACAACTGCAGTGACACTGAACCGCAACACATGATGTGAACACACAGTCAATAATTTCTTAAAATAATTTCTTAAAATGGAGAAAATGCTTGTCTAAACCACACTCTTACATCAGTTCTTTTGTTACAGGTTTAATATGTTCTTGGTGTGAATGCTGCTGCTAGCTAATTTTAACTGAACTATCTTTTATTGGTGATATATATATATATATTGTAGTGATGATTTCCCTCAATTTCCCTTTTCTTTCTTTTTGAAAGATATGTACCCTTTATACGTAGATGTTCACTTTGTCTATTGTCAAAACCAACTTTATTTGCATATTGCTGTGATGAATATGTTGTTCACTTATGATATTTGCAATATATCTTTCTATAGAAGTCCTTACTGGGCTATATGATGGGAATAAACTTACATTACCCAAAATGTCACTTTCTGTTCATTTACTAGTTAAGTTCATGTTTTTAAGCTTAAAAATGAAGATTCTCTTGCAAAATAATTGTACTGATTTCTCATAACAGAAGGAACAGGTACATGGTTGATCAAGGATAAGGGAAGGTGAGCTGACAAAATCGAGTTAAATTAGGATTTTAAATTAATATTCACTCAGTCTATATTGGCTAGCATGGGTTCTAGTTTCCTAATCTGAAACTGCCTAAATCTGTTATGGGCACAAGCTAAAAAAAAATTCATTGGTGGTAAATTGACAGAAAGTGAGAAAAAAAGAGTCTGCTGTTTAGTAGCCCTGCTTACATAGTGTAGTTCTCAAAATAATCTCTCTAAAGCAAAATTACATTTTATAGTGTTTTATTACACAGAACAGAAATTTTATGAATACAGTATTTTATGCACATCATGAAATCTGTATTTGTCATTTTCCTAAAAAGAAACAGTCATAAAAAGGAAAAAGTAGACTTCAGTGTTTCTCCTATCTGAAGATCTAAAATCACAAGATACTTCAAGAACATTGGTATATAGTTGTAGAACAAAATATTATTAATCTAAAATAGCAAATACCTTTTAAGAATTAAATTACTGCTTTATAAAGAAATAGAAGGGTATTAAGAACCCTGTGAAAACCCTGTATTCATAGTTTTTAATCAATTTATAAAATTCAAGTTTAGTACTTGACATATTAAAAAACTGTAAACCTAATACACTCTTCAAATATTACACAATATTAACAAATATTGTATCCAAATGCCGTAATCACTGTTTATTAATACTCAGGTCTTAAGTCTATTCAATGGCAAATGATACATTAATCAACTGGTACTTTCAGAGGAATAGTATTTGGCCTCTTAATTACTGAAGTTGATTGTTTGAGTAAATCAGTAAGAACTGCCTTCATTTTACAATGCTCAACTAACCATTGTTACAGTCTTGTACGATAGCAAATGTCTCTTATCAAATATGCAACTTGAGCAATAGAAGTCAATTAGTTTCAAAAGCTCCTGTGTCGGCAACATCAAGGAACAATTTTGACCACATTCCATTCTGGCAGAGTGCCTCAAATATGATTTTGATGGATTATCCAAGATGAGGATAGTCATTTGATCCACATCCTCAGTCACCAAAGAAGTTTCTTCTTGGTGCCAAAATTATTATTGGTTTGAAGTTTAGATAATTTAAAAACATTTGAACATGCATCAAACTCTGGAACCAGCTAAATGTTACTTGCCTATAAACATTGCTAAAAACCTCAGCATTCGTGAGCAATTTTTGTCATAAAAAATGATAGGTGGTTTTCTAGAAGGCAATGATGACTATGCCATAGCATCTGATGTAAGCCATGGAGCGTGTAAAGCATATATACAAAATAGAGAAGTTGGAATGAAGAAGCACAAAGAAGCCACAATCTCCTCTATTGCTAGTACCTGTTACAGTGCTGACTATAATACAGTTTCAGGATGGTCAACACATTAAACATTGTATTATTTACACGTTGCTCTGAGTGAGACACGTTTTGGTTTTCCTCTTTCAATCCTTAAATCTGCTTTCCCCAGTAAAACAGAAGTGTCAGTAAGTCTGACCTGATAAACAGCAAATCCACACCTTATAACAATTACTTCAATGAAAAATACATCTTTATTCAGTTACTTTTTTTGTTTTGAGCATCTTGTTTCTGCCTTCTCCTTCGTAGCTGCAGCTGTAGCTGAAGTCTGTTTGTGAAGAAGATTTTTTTCCAGCCAATTTCCTGCGCAAGTTCTTTCATTTCAGGTGTAATTGTGTCACACAAGTTCTCCACAATGTTCTCCCATAGCGCATTACTGTTACATATCTAGTTGTAAGAGAAAGTAGAGGCTTAAAACCATAATTTGGCTTACTCATTGCTGATTATTTTACTACACAAAATGTGTTTAGGCAACAGAGATACCTTGTGTGAAGGTCACTTGCAGTGCAAGCTGCCCATTTATCTTGAAAGATGCAATGCTAGTTAAAACTCACAATGACATCGGTGGAAGTTTTGCCCAGTGCTGCCAAGGCAAGATACTGCACGTTTGTCTGTGAAAAATGTGAGAAGCTTTGTTTCGTATGATATCAAAGGCCTTTCTGCCAGACTAAAAGCAGCTGTAATGCCACATACTTTCCTGGTATATAATTCATACAGCCCCACTGGAATCAATGAAGCTGTGCAAGATGATGCCAAAGAGCTTCTCAGGATGTAGAAATCACATCACAAACACAAATCTGTTTTCAAGGTAAGTAAAAGAAGCAAATTGCCTTTGGATTTACAACAGAAATACAATTTTAGGAAGCTTTCAGAGCACTGTAGGGATTAAAACTGTTTCTCAGGAGATGCTTCCCTCCTTCAGAATGACTCCATAAAAAAAATCAGATTGAAATATTATATGATAAACAGGAAGAAAAAATGATGTAATTTGTTAGATGTCAACCATCACAAAAAACGAATTGGGCAGATACTCTGTGTATATTATTCTGCCCATTGGAAGTTACACGAGAGCATAGCAACATTGATTCTTCTCACAAATGTTCCACTTTTCTAAGTGTGTAATTGCAGGGACCCAAGAGGAGCCGTACGAGATTACTCCAATGCAAGTGACTGGTATGTCTGTCACAAGCAGTACCAGAAACAGAAAAGCAAAAGTCCTGGTATAACTGCTGTTAGATACTGCTGATGTAGCTGGATACTTTATTTAATTCCCTGAGTAGAGAGAAGCTGTGTCAGAGTACATGTAGCCCTATTTCTGCTGTTCTTGAATTGTGAGAGCCATCATAGTGCAGTCACACACAACATGCTACTGTATTTTAGCAATGGAAAAGCAGGGATTATTGCAGGGAAACTGCTGTAGAAGCCCTGAAATGAAAAGATAGGAATTTTAAAAGTTTTCTCTAAATTTCTTCTTGCTCTCTGTCTCTAACCATTCTGCCATTCCTATAAAAAATGGACACCAATAACTTCTAAATAGTGCAGACCGGCTTTTAGTATCATACATTTGTATTTCCAAATACAGCGTTCTATTAAAAAAATTACAGAAGGAAAAAAAGATAATAACTGTCATTATTGTGGTTTTCTTTCCGTGCCAATGGCTTCTGAATTGCCTAATAACAATTAAGACCTTCCCTTCCGTACAGTGTTAGACACAACCGCGGGGCGGGCAGCGCTGCGCGGCCGGCGCAGGAGAGCTCCTGCTCGCTCCTGCCTTGGGAACCTGGCTCCCTCTGGCGGGACTCGCTTCCTTCAGCTCACAGAAACACACCGCTTCTATCTAAAACCTCGTATAAAATAAACCAAACGAATCCTAACCTGAGCTTGTGCTGGGAGACACTGCAATACAGCAGTCTGCTGAAAAAGGATTTGGAAAACTCAAACGATGCTCCAGCGGTGGTGTCCACATTAGGACTTCTGTACTTTTGTTTCTTTAGAGATGGAGCTTCTGTCACAATACTTAAAAATGCTACCTAGTAAAACCTAGAATACTTTGAAATGCATATTGAAAGCATCATGAATACTCTGGAGAGCAGGATTTATGCTCAGAACTCCACAGTCAGAGAAATGCCATGCTTTGGGTAACAATGAAGATACCTCTTTAGTTCAGCCTATGAGGCTGCATGGCACAGGTTGGACATACAGGGCCTTTCAAACCCCAATTTTCAGTCCTGAGTGCAGAGATTGATCTATTTTTCTCTATCTGAAAATCTGAATATGCTATTTTATAATTCCACAGATAGAAGCATTGCAGCCTACACATAAATTGGTCTGGCACTGAAAACTCAGTATTGGGGCAAAATTTTAATTCCTTAAAAATACTGCTGAAATGAGAGAAAGAGAACATGGCATTACTAGCTGTAATAAGTTATTTCATTGTGCCAAAATCTTTTATTATTATGCAACTTAATTATTTCTAGGATTTCCTTAAATTTCATAATGTCCAATTGTGTTAAACTAATCAAAAGTTTACTACCTTGAACAGTACTTCATCATGCTCTACTCACACTCTGGAAATGACAGATCTATTCCAAATATACTAAGAAATCATTTCCTGACCTCCCTTCTATCCATTCTCTTCCTCCCTTTTAGTTGTTTTGATTCTCTCATCTTCTACTGGTTGTTTCCCAGTCACAAGATCAACTGTTTTACCTTGAAACTGAAAGCCCAGAACTCGGTAAACTTATCCACTTCCATCTGCCCTTTATCCCTAAATTCACGATGCTCTATTTTGCTACCTTACCATTTTCTCCTGTGCTTTCTTTACACCATCTCCTATTTCTTGTGCTCACTTAAACTCAATCTTGTTAAAGCATCTATAACGTCGTTGTAGCCACAGCATAGGAATAGCAGTACAGTCACGTCCTCTTGAACTATCAGCAGTCTCTTCCACAGAACTTGGGCCACACTTGGGACTCAAAATAAGACACACCCTGTGAGTAATCTCACTCCGATACAATTTGGAGATGCCCTCTGCACCAGAGGCATTCCCCGTTCTCCAAACTAAAGGTTAATCTGTCTCTCTGAAGTCTCTTAGAGAGCATCCAGCTGTCACATCAGACTCAAGATGACTAAACCTGTTTTTATCTTCTCCTAGGTCCCACCACTACTTATGTTTTCAGTAACCATACAACCCATAATGTGACAGGCTGCTACAGCACCCCATGGATAAGAATCAAGTTATTTTTCTCTTTAATATGCTTCTCCTCTATTTTTCATAAGCTAAACCCTTTTTCTCCCCCTACCTGAGTTATTGCAGCAGCCTTTTCTCAGGCTGTGATTGGGATAGAAAATGCAATGTTGAGGTATTCAGACCCATAAAATTAAGCTTCCTAAATCACAGCTCTGAACATATTATCTTTCCATCCCTCCAATTACCTGACCATGCAGAGAGCAGGAGGTTGGGACAGATGACCTCTCAAAGGCCTTTCCAACACAGCCCAAGTTAGCCTATGACTTTTCTCCTTTTGGCACCAACATCCTCCTGGCCCTCATCCTCCTGGGACTTCCATGTTATCCTTCCCTGACTGTTACCCCTCGTTCAGCACTGGGAGACTACCCTTAGCTCCAATCAGCCAATAGTGGCAACTTCTGTTATTCACTCTTTAAAGTTCCAATTCAACGTGTCCCAAACTTCCCTGACAGTTGGAAAGAGCGTCCCAGCAAGCATGATGTCTGCTCTTTCTCCTGCATTCCCTCCAGTTCCTTGCTGCGAGGTCTACAAAAATCTTTTTCCTTGTGCTCCTGTCTTTTGTCAAAAATTTAAAACGTAAGCTCTCTAGGGATGGCAACAATTTTTTTGTTTGTTAATGAGTTTAGCATAAGGTGATCCTGGCCCACGGTTTCTAGAAGTTTCTAGACATTACAATAATACAAATCATAATGTAAAGCATAGGTTTTACATTTCAAATACTTAATCCTGGAAGTAGTGCGTAACACTGAAACATGAGTTACAATGGAATTATCTGGATCACTGTGTTTATTATATGCAACAGGATAATCACAATCTCTCTAACAGCCTTTCTAAGATCTAGCTTTTATTGCACCCCTTCAGCTGTTTGTATCCAGATGATTAATTTATTATCTCAAATTTAAGTAAAGCAGACAGATTACATTAAATGTGAATCAAAACCAAGATGCTGCACAGCAAAGCTAACAATTTTAAAATAATTTATAATTTATTTTTAATTTTTTTTTGTTTTTTACCGTTTTAAATCTGCGTGAAACTTGAGAAAGCCTGGCAATATCTTCAAGCTCCAGAAAGGAAATGATGTACAGGAGCAATGGGACAGGAAGCCGTTCCAGGAAGTCATAGTTACCTCGGCACAGATTGAGGACATGTTCCAGAACTTTGGCACCAAACACTATAGCAACCTGAACTGTGATAAAAAAAACCAAACAAACCCAAGAGAGAACAGATTTGTAAAAGCCTGAAATTTCTTCCCAATTATTCAGATAATTCTTAAAAAGAAGAAAAAATATCAGAAAAGCCAGCTCATTTTTAACATGTTTTCTAGAGAAAATAACATATAATATTTTATATTGAACATGAGTAATTTATAGTATTTCAGTTCATTTTAAGAGTTGCTAGTGACATTCAGGAAGCCTGAGCAATAAAACAAGGCTTTAGTTAAAAAACTGTACATTGTCTAGTATACAGCAAACTCGTATCTCAGCTGAGGAACATCAAAACACAGCAAAGCTAAATTGAAACTTGCCCATGTACATTTTGTTCATATTTCCACATAGGTATATATTATTTACAAAAAGACTGTGCTATTTAATCAGGAGGAGGTTAGCAAAACAGCTGGAAAAAGTACTTCAGTTGCATGCTTTGGGGAAAATAGCAATGGCTCTGACATGAAGAGTCCCTGTAATTCTGCATCTTATCTTATGTAGGTAAAGTTAAACCACTAAAATGAAATTGAAGACGGGTATCTTCTACAGTGACATGAAATTCTTTCATTCATTCACTTAGTGATCCAGTACAATGCCAAATTCTTTTTCTATAGATCTGCTACTTAGTGAGCTACGCCCCATTCCACATTCATACAGTCCATTATTTCTGCTTCTGTTTCCAACTTGGAACTTAGGGTTCTGAATTTAACACTATTTCTTCAGATCATTTATCTGCAAACCAGCACAGCATATTTAAAGACTCCCTGAGCACTAGCCAAATTTAAAAGGCAGTCCATTTTCTATTGGTTCACAATACATTCATTCCCCTTCTAGTCAAAATAAGTTGTAATAACTGGAATCAAAGATTTGTTTTGTTACAGACTGGGAGTGCTGATTGAAACCTTTTCCGTGGTTTATGCATATATCCAGTCACGTGAGCTCAGAACGTGCTGTATTTCCATCAACAGAGCACTAACAGCAGTCACTTGCCATCTCCCTACCCAACTGCCTAAAGAAGTGCTATTTCAATGAAATTCACTTGAAATTAGCCAGTCGCAAAAGTTATGATGGGGATCAGAAACACAAACCTAAACATAGAAATGCAGACCACATTAACTCACCAGGGCTAAAAAAAAATCTCAGTTGTGCTGTAGGAACTGTTAGATTTTAATAAGCAAAGCATAGGAAATGTGTTGGTCTTATTTCAGACCCTAAAAGAAGATACACTCTAGTTTACTCTTGAAAACAGATATATTCGCTTGAGGAAAGTTTTACCCTCTTCCCTACCACCTGAGATTCAAACACTTCTTTGGAAACTAGACCTCTTCTGCCTAGGTGTAAATAAGATGATCTCTACCGAAGCTGTTGATGAGAAAAACAGGACTTCATTTGGAAATGACATCTTTCAAGTTCATCATAAAAATAGGATAAATATGAAGTCACATCTGTAACTAAATTTCCTTATGTCTGTACAAAATCAGAATACAAGAGCAGCTTGTTTCATTAAAAAAAACCCCCCAAACAACCCCAAACAAACCCCAAAATCTCACCAATGCAAGGTATTTTAGTGTTAAATAGTCTCTTGGGCTACAAAAAGTCTCAGATCTCAATCCAGTCCCTGCAATGTGCAGTTATCAAGTGCTCCATTTTCAGCCCAGGTCATAGCTCAGACCTCAGTTATTTGCTGCAGTTGCTGAATTAATGTGTCTTTGGCTTGGTATTTTCAGTTTCCTTTGTGAGCTGTGACCAACAATATCTTGTGACATGACATCTCTTAGAACTAATCCATTACTGAGAATCAAGATCCTGAGAAGATGCAGAGCAATAACTGTTTGGGAAACATAGTCCCATGGAACTTTGGGAAAAAGCGTGATTATTTCAGATGCTCTCAGTGGCCAGGCTATCAGGAACAGGTCGGAAAACAGCTCTATAAATCTACATTTTGAGGTTTACTTAGTGGTGACCCCACTACCTTTCTTTTTCTGGCTTTATGCTGCTAAAGTCATGTTGCACTTGGATAATCGCCAGTGCCTTGGTGTTATTTACATTAAATCAGATTGAGAATCCGGGTGGCTCACAACATGGCCATCAAAACAAATGTGCTGGCACAGAGCATTATAAGGACTGAGTTATTAGCAATAATAATATTGCTTTCTAGCCTATTTTTGTTGCTAATACTTCTGTCACTGTCAATAATGAAACTGTCAACGTTGGTGGGATTGATCCTATATTTACATTTACTGATATGTCTTCTGTTTTTTCCAGTATTCATATATTAATTTATATTAATAAATTCATTTTTAAAAGCCTGTTAAGCCAAAGTAATCACATCTTTCATGAAAGTTATTACAGATCAGTATCATAGATTATTCCACTATATGCCACAGCAAATTTGTAATTATTATTGTCATCTTACTATGAAGAGATGAATCACCCAAAAAGTCCTCCTGGGATTCTTTAATTTCTCCAGGTCTTGATTCACGACATTCCTTTCTAAGTGAGATTTTCCACCACCTCAAAATTACCTACAATTGTGGAAGAAGAAAAAGAAGAAAGGAAGAAGAAATGAATATCAAGTACCATGAGCTAAGTGCATTGCTAAGATCCAGGATTCTGGTTGTGTAAATATTACTACTATTCCCAAACCAAACTTATCACAAGAGATAACTTGTGTACAGGTTACATTACCAGCAGCCCTACAACATGCTTCAAAGGACAATAAACATCTCCTAATGCACCTAGACAAGCGTGAAATGTTTTTACATACAACTAAAGTGCTCCCAACCACTGTGTGCAAATTGTTCACAGAAATTAACGCACGTTTAATGACATCTCAACTTGCAAAACCATAAACATTCTCTTTTTGTTTTTCATTTAGTCACAGAAACACAATTCATCGGGCACTATATTACATGGTTAAGTTGAAATACCCATTCAGCTGCTTAGGCATTCAAAAGTAGCAGTCTTGTAAGTTAAACTGGCATTTTAACATTTTGTTAAAATCAAAACTAATAGGACAGTTCAAAGCTCAGCACTTAGATTGCCTGAAAACTCTGGAAAAAGCTCTCCAGAAGTACACATTCAACTCACATTTTCAGTCAGACAAAGAAAAGAAAGCCCACATTACAAAGCATGCAACTGAGAAAAAAAAAAAAAAAAGATTAATGTGAATAGTAAATTATGAAGCTATGAAATGGTGGAGAACAAGTGGCCCTTCCTTATCAGTAATTTTCCCAGAGTTCTTGTAAAACACGACATATGTGCTTGAATAGTGTGTCAGTTTTTAATATTGGCTCTTGTTGCTGTCACAGCTGGGCCTACAAGAGAGGAAAGTTGTAGTCACGTCTCTTCCTTTACACAAGTTGTTAGCAAAGATCACATTCCAAGCCAAAAGTAGGATTCAGCTGCTGTTGTAGGCAAGGTTAAAAAAGAAATAATTTTGTAATTTTACTAATATTACCCTGGTTTATTTCCTTCCGTTTCATTGAGAAAACTACGGATTTTAAATTGTTATATGTGTAGGTGGATTCCTGACACACTGAGCAATAAAACCGACAAATGAGAAAGTTAGTGAGGTGTACATTTATAAACACACACGTGTGTATATATGAAATACACTCCAAAGAGTCCTACTGGCATGCAGACCAGGAAAATTAAAAGCAAGCCTTGAGTTAGCTGTCAGTATGGCACAGAGGACTCCTCACATACGCTGACTGAAGAACACAGTCACATTTACTGTTACAAATCTTAGATCTGAGAACAGTGGTTTACATCTCTAAACATGAAATTTAACTTTAGATCTCTCTGGTATTTTAGTGTCCAAGAGTACATTTTTAAAGTTGAGAAGAATTAAGTATTTGTAACTCCTAATGAGTTGCATTCATTTTCATCATTATTTTCAAATTAAAGCTCAGATTCCAGACAATCTGCTAAGGCAGGCCCCACACCAATCATTTCTGTATTTTTCAAGTCTTGCTTTTATCCTGTTGATCTTTCATATACAATAACAGTAAATAAGTCTGAATAAAGACTTAACACCTACCTTTGAATGTCAAATATAGTCACCTAAATTTTATCACTTTGATGTTTATTGTGTATCATTATAGGGGATAATTGGAATTCCTAAGTCATATTTTTGATAGCATACATACAAAATAGCTTCAATTAATTCTCAGACACATCCACTATATTCTGCAAAATAACACTCATTACGTGAATAGAAGAAAAAACATCCTACTCAGTTGTGTAAGTTCATCCTATTTTACAATGACACATACAATCTTTATTTCTTTGCAGTGGAGCAGTTGCCTCTGTGAAGGGAAAAAAATCCATTTATCCAATCTGCATTCTAGAATTTAATATATGAAAAATAAATTAAACCACTGAAACATTTTATAATAACAGAGTTAACATTTATGTAATATACACGCACAGTATAGACCACCACATTGCTAAAATAACACCACTTAATATACTAGTGGTAATATGAGGATTCAATGCAAAAGAGGTTATAAACCATTTGTCATTCTGTTACAGTGATAATCTTACTCCCTGGGAAGGCTTTAGAACTCGTATGTTTTAGCCCACCACGGGGATAACAGGGCAGTGAATGCTGCACTGTACTTGCAAAACCTCTTTTTATCTCTGGCAATGTAGGGAGAATCGGCACGTAAGGCCACTTTCATTCTTATTTGTGGAAAACATGAGAATAAGGTCAGAACAAAACTGATAGGCAAATGGAGAAAGAAAAGACGTCTTCCTATGTGTTCCTCAGCTTGCAGACCCTTCAAAATGCTAGGCAAGAATACAGTATTTTATAGGGAAAAAAAGATAATTTTTAAAGAAAAGAAACCTGGTTAATATGCTTTCACTTGGCCTTTTCATGTTACTGTAGGAAGTGAAAAAAAAGTCTTGGAATGTAAATACCAAGTACAACTGAAAAAGAAAATGGCCACCTGCCCCCAAGACCAGTTACCAAACATGATTAACAATGACTACTGCTTTTCAACTTTTGAACTTTAGTACCGTACAGCATTCTTCAGATTAATTTTCTGTATATCCTTATAGGTTTAACTACACACAAATTTAGAAGTCTAATTCCTAAAAAGCAGAACTATGTTGCACAATGGATTACAATGTGTTGTGATCTGTTATAAAATATATTGATAAATATTTTTCAGTCTGGCATATATAGTACAATAAATACAGAGAGCAGACGCTTGCCCAAACTCTGCACCAGTGTAAGCAAAATGAACGTTTCACAGTAATTATTCCATATATTTTTTATTTAGTATTTTGTGCATATGAGTGTATTTATCTATATAGAAGTTTATGTATACAAAGATGCACAAGAACAGATTTAATCCAAACACTTGAGCACTTGAGTGTGCATATGTGTGTATAGACTCTTGAATAAGATTTTATCTTCATAAAATCCAGCCAACCCTAAAATGGAACACTAAGTCAATACTCTACAAATGAAATGCCTCTGTCTTATTTTTATAGCAATTACGGTAGATGTTTTAACATGGTACATGTTTTAACATGGTTATAAAAATTTACTTTCTTGTAATATTGCTACACAATTATAAATTCCAAAACATTTTAATACTGACTTCAAAAATTACAGAAATACATATTTCAGTAATCTCTCCTCTTCTTAAGCACACTGCAACACAACTATCTGCCAGAATGGGAAGATCAGGTCAACATGCAGAGGCATGGGAAAAATAAAATATTCAAGTAATTAGATTAAACTCCACTGTGTATTTTCTAAACATTGTTCTTTGATTTACAGTGGAACAAACTGACAATAGCATTACTCCATTTAAAAACTTCCTTATGCACAAATACCTAGGACAAACTACAGTTACCTTGGTAATTTGTTAGCACATGGTTATTCCAAAGAAAAACAGTGCATAGATTTTGTAATACCTATACTTTTTGCATAGATTAAAAAGATGAAGAGTGGAAAGTATTATAAGTGCATCCTGGTTACCATGGACACATTTAATTCTCAACGTTATTTGGAGGTGCAAGTGTTAAAGCAATTCACCACCACATTGCTTACTCCATTAGCATTTCCTCATGAGAAAAAGAGAGAATAGGAAAGGATGATCAGAACCAAATCTAAACAGCAGCAACCAGCCAAGGCTTCAAATAAAAAGTCATAGTAATTTTTTAAACAAATAAAATAATGAAAATATTTAAATAAAAATTAGCAACAAATAAACTAGTTCAGAAGTATCTATTGTCAAAATTAATCTGGACTGTAGATTACCAGAAGCATAGTACTATTTATCTTGTAGAAGAAAATAATATTCAAAGTTTGTCATATGGTGAGCCATCTTTTAAGGATGCTGGGCTCAACCTTCCCTTAATTTAATCTATTTCGGAAGTTTTAGAACTAGAGACAAGTCTCACATGACAGACTCATATTGTATAATGAGAAACCTCTGGGGGAAGCTGAAGAAAAGACAGCGTGAATTGTGAAGCCCTGTTATAAAGGCATATATGAAAAACTGCTTCCTTTCCAATACACACTTTTAGGATTTTCAACTTCTTCAGATTCGAGTGTAAAAAGAATTCACATGGAACTCACCATCCATCAGGAATAACAGTTATTTCCAGCTTCCTTATTCCATTTAAGAATGAGATTTGAAAACAAAACTCTTAATATATGTTTTTAAGTCTGCCTTTTTTTGGAAATTTTGGGCATCAGAGCTGAAAAGCAGTTGTAATCAGTAATTGCTATTGAAGATGGATATCTTCCATCTTTATCTTCAAAGCAAGAACAGAAAACCAGCTTAATTTTATAATTGGGCTTTAAGATCATAAACAAGAATAGCTTAATAGAAGACAAAATACTCCAAAACTAATGCTAAAATATATCTAAACACTTAGAGCAAAAAAAATTACAATTTTTACTAGACTATTAGCTCCACTTCATATAACTTCACCGGTACTATCCTGAAAGTGATTAACACTAATGTGTAATTAAATATTTTTTTCATTTACCAACGAAAATAAGAATAATAGAAAACCTTTTATAACACATTGTGGTTTTAGATCCACCTCCTTAACCTGATCATTCTGCCATTACAGACTTTAAAAAATGAATTTTGTTTTGATGGAATGGTGAATCTTGTTAAGAGTATTGTTTTCCCTCTGAACACCTCTCAGACAGGTGGAAAGACACTATTAAGAAGAGTAAATCAATACAGTAATATTTAACTCTGCTTTTCCCAATGGATATTGCTGTGAAAACAGCTGTAACTAACTGAAGGGGATAAAATACAGTCAGTTAAACAATCTAACCAGCAAGACCACTCTCCCTCCTAATTATACTACATCAATAGAAAGTCTTAATACATTCACCAATTAAGGTAAGTCTCCAACTGTGCTAGGCTAGTGAGCAGGCAAGCTTTTATTGCTGCTGTACAGTCGCTTCTTAAATATTCTTTTACTTTCTGACCAGCTACCCAGGGACAATGTCCCACCTGTCCTCTGACTAATTAAGTAGTAT